TGGGTTGCGGAGCAGGCGCTGCGGCTGCACCTCGGGGCAGGGTCTCTGGTGACATGCAGTGTCCTTCCTGCAGCGTGGGGCTCCTCAGCCCAGCCGAGACAGCTCCTGCTTCCCAGCCGCCGCGCAGGGAGGGCTCTGCTGATGGCACAGCCACGGAGGACTCCCACAGCAGGGGTTTGGGCTGCTCCCCCCCAGCACTTGACCTCCAAAGAGGCAACACAGCTCCATCTCACCAGGCTTTCCCCTCCAGCCCCGCGCAGGGCAGAGGCACAGCTGCTCCGGCACAAGGCAGCCTGGCCAGCAGGAGCGGCTCTGCCCTGCCCAGATCCCAGGGCAAATGGACTGGGACAGAGATGAGGCAGAACAAAACTTGGAGGAATTAGAGGAATAATCACAGAGCTCCTCAGCTTCAACAGCAAACCAGAATTATTTACTTACTTATGGGAATTTTCTTGGCTCTGCTTTCTTTTCTGTAGGATTCTCACTTTTTTCCCAAGAAGTGCCTAAACTGAAATATTACCAGTTTTCCTGGTAAAAACTTTATTTAAATAATTTTATTTTACCAGCCAGAGAGAAGGGGAGTGGGTGAACGAAAGGTTCACAGAAAATACTTTTTTCTTTCAATATGTTTGCTTTCCATTAAAAAAATCTTTCCTGAAAATTAGTTTCACAAGGATCTTTCAACCAGTCCAAATCAATAGGGTTGGTTTTTTTTATTATTATTATCTTGGCAGAACCTCTTATTTAAAAGCTTAATTAAATTTGTGTACCAAGATATTGTGTCTTGCCACATCCTTGCTGTCCTGTAGTTGCTTCTCTCCCTCTGCCTTGGCTGATGCCTTGGCCAGCGCGCGTGGGACAGGACCACCCAGCCACCCGGCAGGTACCTCTCCTCTGCTGCCTGATGCCATGGGTCTGCAAACCAGCTGAGACCATTTAGCACCTTGAGAAGGACAGTCCTTGGTCAAAGCTCTGCATTGGATGCCCCAGAGGGAGCAGGGAGGGGGCAAAGAGGGGACACCCCTGCTCGCAATCCCAGGGACACAGCAAAATTCCCTCATCCCGTGGCCCCTGGCTGCCCCAAACCCCTCCTCGGCAGGGCTGGGGGCTGTTGACCATTTCTCTGGTGGTTATTAGATTGTTCACGGCTCTCAGGTTTGTTTGAATAAGGTCTTTTGTTCGCCGGCGCTTTCCCACGTCCCTTCGTTCGCTAGGCAGTCGCGTGTCCCGAGTCAAAGAGGAGCCTTGGCCGCCAGTCTCCAAAGAAAGTTTTCTTCAGAGCAAGACATCTGCATCGGAGGGAACCTGCCAACATCTGCCACACTTTCCCCTTTTTCAAGAGCCTTTCTTTCCTTCTTAAAAAGTGCAGGAACAGATGTTAAAAGTTGTTTTCTTTCTCCAGGGTGTGAAATGTAGACAAATAGCAAAAAAGAAAACCCCGAGCAGCCTGACCCCTTTCTCTTTCTTTTTTTTTTTTTTTTTTTTGAAAGCTCAGGAAAAAAGAGAGGCTTTGTTTACGAAGGAGAATCCCCTTTTCAGTCAAACCTGGCAGTGGGCGATGCAAAAGGAAAGCGGGAATTTGCAGAACGCTCCCTTTAATGCTCATTTGCATTGGCCTGTTGGGTCCCTACAATCCCCGGCACAGATGTCGGCCGTCCCCCAAAGCCAAGGCAGCTCTCCCGCGCCTCAAAAATAAAGGCCTTTGCCCTGACTGAGAGGTGTAAAATAACTGTTTACAGCAAAAGCTGCTCTGCTTTTTCACTGCGGTGCTTGTCTTACAAATGAACCTTGAAATGAGCTCACCCGGAGCAGACGCCAGTGGACGAGCTGAGGGTCTCACCCCACCGAGCTCAGGGGCTCAGCTGCCCTGAGTGGGCAGGGCACGGACCCCGGCTAGATGCCAGGGGCCACCGTGCTGTTCTTGGCCCCCCCATCACACCCATCCGTCGCCAGTACCCAGCACCTCGCCACCAGCAGCCCCTGCTTGCTTCATGGAACCCGCTTTGCCAGGGGGAGCCTGTGCGTGACCCTCTGGCAGAGCATCCCTCTCGCCCCAGACCTCAGCGGCACCTCGCAGGGCGAGGAAAACGGGAGGGAAGGGAAGGCAGAAGCAGCAAGTCCAGGCCGAAGAGGAAAGGGAGAACAAGGGAGGAGGTGCAACCACCACAGAGAGCAGAGAGACCTTTCCTGGTGGCACTGGCCAGGCTACCTTTTCCTGGTAGCCCCTGGGCTACCCATACGGGGTGCACACAGAACCCTGCAGCTGTGCCTGGCCAGGGAGGGATGCCAGTAGGCACTAGGCGAGTTTTTCAGAGCTTTTAGGCAATTCTGCGTTTGCTGACACCTCTGCTACGCTCTGTTGGTCTCAGGCTTCCCTTTGCTGCCCTAACTGCCTTGGGAAGGTGCCTCTTTCTGCCCAACGTGCTGGTGGAGGGGTGTTTGGCAAGGGGGATGGGGGACTTCTCTTGCCCGCACACTAGCCAAGCCAAACCCAGCTAGAAGCTGTGTGCCCAGGTAACGGGCTGGTGCTCCCAGCCTCGAGCGCCCTAGCAAACCGTTCAGAGCCAGGAGCCCACTCTGTACCCTGCTACCCACGTGCAGGACAGAGCCCTGCCCCAGCCCACCCGCTGCCTCTTCCATGCCAAGCTGCTGGAGTTGCGTGGCGATACAGATGCCTCAGCTATGCCTTTTATAAATAGCAGCAACACTCCACTTCCCCAGGCGGGCTGGAAAAAGCTTGAAAAACCAACGGAGCCCTCACTCATGAGCAGCCAGGGCTGGCTGACGTGAGGGGCTCTCACATGGGGCAGAGGGACCTCCTTTGCCGTTCTGTGCGGGGGACACACCTGGGATAAGAAGCTCATCCCTCTACCTGGCACAAAGGAGAAGTCACTAACCTTTGTCTCCGAAACCCTCCTCTCCCAGCATAACAACCACACCAGCCTATCACGGACCCTTGCCAAGCAGGGTGTTTATAAAACCGGGTAACTGCACCCCAGCTCTGCCTTTGACTGACAAACAACCTCCACCTGCCAGATCCCATGTCTGGGGACAGGTTTTCCTGAGGAGCCCAGCCAGCGGGGCGTACAGACATGCTGCAAGTATGTTTGCATTTACACACAGGCAAACACACGCCCACGTGGCGTTTAAGCAAGGGACAGTGTCCTCGATTTTATGGCTGGGGTACATCCCCACTCACCGCTGGAGGTGGGGAGAGAGGGCTCTGCAGCCGCGGCGCTGCGCCGGCTGCCGGGGAATACCCACCGGGGGGCGGGGCGGAAACCGCTGCGGCCGCTTCCTCTCCATTTCAATAAGGTGACACATTCAACACCAACACAAAGAGCTTCACCTGCGGGACTCAACAGGACACTGCCAAATCCTGCTCATTAGCAAGGCAACCATCAGAAAGCAAAAGCACAGTCATGAAAAAACACCTTCATGCTCTCCTTGAAACCAGGCAGAAGTGAGCAAGCGTAAGAGGGGGTTCTCATCCTGTGCCAAGCCTCCTCCAAAGAACCGTCTGCTTCTGCACTAGCATTTCAGAGGAGCGAAACGAAAAAACACCCTTCCCCCCCAAAGCCACCCAAGACTCCTCACAGCATGGGGGGAAAAAAATCAAAGTAAAAAACGCACCAAACTAACTCACCTCTAGGTTTGTTTGCATGTGCAATGGCCTGTAAGATTAATATTAAATCCTACACAGCAGTCAAAACCTAGAAGAGTTACGTATTTCCTACATCCATCTGCATGCAATGGAGAATTTTGGGTTCCCAAGAGGTAAATAAAGTTCCCATGTTTTCGCTAGAGGATTTCTGCGATGGAAACAACCTTCCTATGGGCATCTGCTGTCAACAGCTTTTAATCAGTCATCACTACCTTGTAGTAATAATTCCTGGGAGCAGGAACTCCTTGCTCAAGTACTCTATTATTAAATTAAGAGGCTGCTTCAAAGATGCTAAACGGCTGGGGCGCAGGTTAGTGGCTAAAAAGAGGCATCGCATCGAGGAGCTAGAGGGGGAAAAGATGGGTAGAAGACATTTTCCCAGGTGTAACTCAACCGCTTCCCGGCTATTGTTTCCCTCCCTGGGAATCTGTGTGAATCGAGCCAGGAGCCGTGCAAGCTGCTCAGAGCGCGCCCATTTTCCTTCCCTTCTTTCCGAACAAAAGAGCCCTCCAAAGCCCAGCATCGGAGGCTGGACATCTGTCGCCGTTTGGGGGGGCCGGCGTGGTCATTGAAAAGAAGCAGTGACCTGTCAGCTTTGATTGATGGCCACAAACCTCCGGGCTCGACCCCTCGTGTGGGAAAAGAAGTCCCGCCAAGGAAAGTCCCCTTTCACATGCTAATTCTGGGTTATAAATACAGCAGCAGAGCAACGGCGCAGCAAAGAGCCGTTTGGGAAAGGCAGCGACCCACTGCCCGACTGCCTCCTTCCCGTCCCGTCCTCCTGGCACCCGGGCCAGACAGGCTGGGATACCATCACATCTGCAGC